CCACTCATTACACCCGAATTGTGTCTCCTGCAGAAATTCCCAGAGGGTTTACCTAAGGTTAAAATTATAATGTTTGATCAGGGGGAGGAGCGATGATGTAGGCACACGCAGCTGGCGTCCTCGTAGTGTGTGCCTGGGGAACGCTCAAGTCAAGGAGAAGGAGTAGCTCATGCCCAGGGCTGGATGAGGGTAAAGGACGGTGGGTACTTCGAGCGAGAGGTCCTGTCTGAATGCAATCGTGCCCTAAGGGAGCAAGACGATGGGCCGTTCAGGAAAACAAAAAAAGAACGCTGAGCAAATCAGGATACATGGACAAGATACACTGGAGAACTATAATGGAGAAATACAGAAGCCAGGCTAAAGCTACGTGCATAGTTGATGTAACTGATACTAGCAAATGATCACTTAAGGCAAAAGGGGGTAATTCACCTAAACAATAGTTTCTCTCTTTCCCTATTTGTTGAAGCTTTGCTTTGCTTTATATGCTGTTTTGTTTTTTGACTTTATGCTTCTCCCTCCTTTAACCATTTCAATAGAGAATATAATATGAGGCTTTAGTTAGCTAATAATGGTTGGGGTAAGGGTGCACATTTATTAAATAGAGATCTCCTTTGTGTCTTTTTCTGCTGGGTATTACTTAGGGGTTTTTTTTGGGGGGGGGAGGGGGGATTTAATAAAAGGAAAGAAGAAAGGGGGGGGATGAAAGAGGTAAGGTAAAGGAAAGAGTGTATGAACCCCTGACCACAGGGTGGGAGAGAAGGGGAAATAAAGAAAGGAAAAAAAGAGAAAAGACTGTGTTAAGAGTACCTAAAAGTACTATAAGAAACTCCTAAAAAATGTAATAAAAAATAAAAGAAGAAAGAAAAAGGAGAAGAAGAAGTGTAAGGAAAGGGAAAGGAAGAGAGAAAAGAAAAAAAAGGAAAGGAAAGAGGGGAGAAGGAAGGGAGATAAAAGGAGAAGATAATATGGCCACCAAAAAGACGCAAAATAGCAAACACCTGAAGAAAGAAAAAAAAATGGAAGGTCAGCTAGAAAAACATTTGTCTTTCTTCTCACCCTAACCGAGAGAAGAGAAAGAACCACATAATAAACAATTTACACTTAAGTGATGTTTATAACACTATAATGTAATGTCCTAAGGGTTCTCTCGCAGAGTGGTGGGGATGCGAGGCCATTCCTTTCTTTTATTTCTTCCCTTCTCCTCTGTATTGACTTATTTATATGTTTATTTGTTTATTTATTTTTTTGGTTCAGTGTGATACCCATTAGATGTTTAGTTATTGACTCAGGCATTTTCTAACCCATCACGCTTACCCACAGGATAGATGGGTTTATTATCTGAGCAATGGGGGATATTGCTAGAGATACAGTATGGCAGGGAGTGTTTGCCATACACAAGCTGTGTCTTAGGTTGATTCCTTTGTTTAGGGCCAGCCTGTCTATGTGTGTAATTTTAAAACTGTTTTTTATATACCCTATGTTATGATAGCCCTGATGCACAAATTGGAGAGAGAGAGTCCTTTGAGCTGTCAGAAATTGTTAAATTAAGCTAGCATCATTGAACACCTGTGGGATTAACTCATTATTTAAAAGATCTCTAATTCTGGATTTCCTGAAGAAAAATCAAATACAAGTTTGTGCATTACAAGACACACATTGGATAAAAACAGACAAAATTAATATAAGATCTATTAATTATCCACTTATTATAGGCGCGGCTCTGGAAGAAAACAAAAAGGGGGGGGGGGGAAGGGGAAGTGGTCTTTATGTTTTCTAAAAAGATATCCATGAATATTAAATATCAAGATCTTGATAAAGACGGTGTGCAAAATAAATAATAAACTCTTTACATTAGCTAATATACATGCACCTAATAAGTCTACTATAAAATTTATAGCAAAGATTACAAAGAAAATTGATCAAATCAAACAGGGGGTGCTATTAATGATGGTTGATTTCAACTGTGTAATAGAACCTTTTAAAGATAGGAAGAACTATAGTGGAAAAAAGATTAATAAAGGATCTTCAGATAGACTACAAAATTTGATAGATCAATATAATTTTAGGGATATATGGAGAACGTTTCATCCATTGGCGTTTGACTTCACATGTTATTCAAAAACATTCAATTCCTACACCAGAATCAACCTTATTCTGGGGGATATGGCCATGCTATGCCTTGTTAAAAAAGATTTTAATACAGGATAAAACATGGTCAGACCATAACCCAATCATATTGGAGTACAAAGACGATTTTGACAAGTTTTGTAAAGACTGGCGGTTGAACCATAATATATTATATAAGAATTATTATATTGAACAGATAAAAAATAACCAAACTATTTTACTTGGAAAACAATAATAAGGGGACATCAGATATTGTAGTATGGTGCACTTACAAAAGCATAATTAGAGGCCACTTGATAGGGATGGCAGCCAGAATGAAAAAGAAAGAAGGCCCCCCACTCTCAGAGCTATACATAATGCTAAATGTATATAAGAAACAGAATAAAATAACACCTTCTACAGTAATTGCAAGGAAAATATCAAAAATAGAACAGAACATAAATGTACAATTATTCAATAAAATAGCTAAAACTTTAGAAATGTTTCAATCTAAATGGTACCAAAAAGGCAATAAGCCTGAAGCGCTTATGACTAGTAAGTTGAAAAAGGAAAAAAAATAAAAGAGTGATATCTAGAATTAGGGATAAAGATATATACATAATGGCCCCAGAACAAATAGGCAGAGCATTTGAAAAATTCTATCGAGATCTATATAATCTACCAGAGGATTTATTTGGTAATGATGAAGAAATTAAAAAATTCTTTGAAAATATAAAGATTCCCAAAATTCTACCCGACCAATTAGAAGCAATAAACCAACCTATATCAGAAACAGAAGTTAGTAAAGCAATAGATAATCTTAAAGAAAGAACTGCCCTGGGCCCAGATGGCTTTACGAATATATTTTATAAAATTATGAAAGATCAATTAAAAGGAGAACTCACAAATGTTTTTAATTAGATGATAAATACAGAAAGATGCCCTGGAGAGTTATTTAGAGCAAATATCGTTCCAATTTCAAAACCAGATAAAGATCCAGAACTATTAAGTAATTTTAGACCGATTTCATTGATAAACACAGGCATCAAAATATTCTTGTCGATTCTTGTGGAAAGACTGAAAGTTGTCATACCAGATCTCATTAACAATGATCAGGTTGGTTTTATTCCAGTCTATCCATCAGTTAACACTAACCGGAAAATAATAGACATTTTGGAGGCAACAGAGACTAAAGGGATCCCACTCATGCTCATATCAATAGACGCAGAGAAGGCGTTTGATAGGGTAGGGAGCATCTTTATGTCAGCCACATTAAAACAATTTGGATTTACAGGCCCAAGAGGTATCAGCTCTCTATGACTCTCCACAGGCAGAAGTCATGGGATCCGGATTTACCTCTCAAATTTTTAACATCAACAACGGGACAAGGCAGGGATGACCCCTATCCCCATTGTTATACATATTAGTATCAGAACCTTTAACCATTACTATAAGACAAAATCTAAAAATTATAGGCTATAGATATTCGTTTGGGCAGATTAAATTAAATATCTATACGGACGATATACTACTGATCCTTGAAGAGACAGAGACCTCTATTTCGGAAATGTTAAAATATATAAATAGGTACTCTAGAGTACCAGGTTATAAAATAAATTTAGATAAATCAGAAGTAGTGATGTCGCGAACACTAAATTTTCGGTTCGCGAACGGTGAACGCGAACTTCCGCAAATGTTTGCGAACCGGCGAACCGGGCGAACCGCCATAGACTTCAATGGGCAGGCGAATTTTAAAACACACAGGGACTCTTTCTGGCCACAATAGTGATGGAAAAGTTGTTTCAAGGGGACTAACACCTGGACTGTGGCATGCCGGAGGGGGATCCATGGCAAAACTCCCATGGAAAATTACACAGTTGATGCAGAGTCTGGTCTTAATCCATAAAGGGCATAAATCCCCTAACATTCCTAAATCACAATGCATATGGATTGACACCTGACATATGACATATTGACACCTTGACCTATGGATTGACACCTGTCCTCAGAGACCCTGATACACACTGACACAGAGCAGAATAGGGACTGTTCCCCCAACATAGGGTCACTTGGCAGATATGGATTGACACCTATCCTCAGGATCCCTGATACACACTGACACAGAGCAGAATAGGGACTGTTCCCCCTACATAGGGTCACTTGGCAGATATGGATTGACACCCATCCTCAGGATCCCTGATACACACTGACACAGAGCAGAATAGGGACTGTTCCCCCTACATAGGGTCACTTGGCAGATATGGATTGACACCTGTCCTCAGAGACCATGATACACACTGACACAGAGCAGAATACAGACTGTTCCCCCTACATAGGGTCACTTGGCAGATATGGATTGACACCTGTCCTAAGGATCCCTGATACACACCGACACAGAGCAGAATAGGGACTGTTCCTCCTACATAGGGTCACTTGGCAGATATGGATTGACACCTGTCCTCAGAGCCCCTGATACACACTGACACAGAGCAGAATAGGGAATATTCACTAAATGCCAAACATTGTTATACAGGGGAATATTCAGTAAATAAGGATAAGGGGGGACCTACTGTCCTCCCCGGCCCTCACCCCTGCATGGTGGGTGGGGGCCATAAATCTCAATGGGGGGGGACCTACTGTCCTCCCACCCACCCGCCCGTCCCCACCCGTGAGTGGTTGGTGGGGGCCATAAAAATAATGAGGGGTGGGACCTACTGTATGATGTTGTATCGATCAGGTAGTGTAAGGGTTACGCCCACCTCACATTGACAGACCAAACTCCCCGTTTAACGCACCGCAAACAACCACAAACTCCCCATTTGCACAAGGTTGGATACCAAGCTAGCTGTAACGGATCCCCTGGCACCCCGACTGGGTACCTCCATTAAAGGATGCTCCTAGCGCTTCCTGAGGACTCCAAGCACTGCAGCAGACACCACAACCACCGAACCGGAGAAGCATATGAATCCTCTTAAGCACATGAATGCTGTAGACAGTTGAATAGGAACCATACGAATAGGTTTACTCTCCTAGCAGTCAAACTGGAACAGCATACAATAAATCCTTCCCCCAATAATGAGACGACACTTCACTTTGAGGGTTAAGCAGGAACTCCCTGTACTGTCACATACAGTCTCTTTTATTCCCAATCCACAAACATAGTACAGCCCACAGGGCGTTACAAAACAACCAATCAATCCGTACAATACACCCAGACACTCCCACACAAAATCCTCCCCTCTGCATGTGATATGATTACTGAACACAATGGGTAATCTCATTATCACCGGCAGAGGAATACAGTTTTTACACAATATTTATAACTTCTAAAATATACATGTCACAAACATAAAACATACATTTTCATAATCAATCCATTCAGGGGAACAACATATTAAAAAATGGCACGAATCAGACCAGGGGTTCAAAAGTTAAGGGAAAGTCCTTTGTGACTAAATGAAGCATGGCTTTCTGGCCCAAACCAGTTTCAGAGTCTTCTATCCTGGAGAGTAATTCAATTATCTCCCAGGACAGACACAAGACTCCATTAAGCACATGGTTGCAAGAAGACACAAAACACTTTAAAATACATTATGTCACCTTTTATACATAAAACACAGACATGTCACATATCCCCAGATAGCTGGGATCTGAGCGCACAAAACTACCGAATAGCACTCAGATCCTATTCACACAGTTCAATTGCCATGGAGCCGAAGTCTTTAACTACATGAATGGGCTCCATGGCATAGCTATCTGGGTTAACACATTCACATAAAGTCTGGTCCATAGTCCAAAGGCAAGAGGCGGGCAAGCAGCCCCCTCCAAGGACACGTGGCGAGACCGGTTTCGCCACACTAGCCATGTCCCGTTCCTTGTCCTCACTGATGTCATTGAAGGTCTCTTCCTCCACCCAGCCACGTACAACACCAAGGGTCCCCGAAAGGTGACAACAAGAAGCAGCAGCGGGTACAACATCATCATCATCACACCGTACATGTGTAATGCTGCCTGACTGAGACATATCCCTGTTATCTACATCCTCTGTCAATAATGGTTGCGCATCACTCATTTCTTCAAACGGATGTGTAAATAACTCCTCTGACATACCAAGTGAAGCGACTGTGGTGCTAGTGTTGGTGGTGGCGGCAGGTGGGTGAGTGGTATCTTGAGAGGTGCCCGAAGCTAAGCTGGAGGAGGATGTTGTGTCAAGGTTCCGAGCGGAAGCTGTAGAAGATTGGGTGTCCTGTGTTAGCCAGTCAACTATATCCTCAGAACTTTTCAAGTTCAGGGTACCTGGCCTCTTAAAACTGGGCATTATTCTAGGGCAAAAGGGAATCACAGCACCACGACCACGACGGCCCCTGCGGGGTGGCCTGCCTCTGCCTGTCATTTTTTTTTTTGATTAGTGGTACTATGTGTGCAAGCTACCGTGACACCAGATATGAGTGGCACTGTGAATTGGCAGAGGTTGGCAGAGTACACGCTGTAGGGCTGACACACCCGCTTTGAGACAACTAACTGCTATTCAATCTATAACAGTGGAAAAAGTTTTTTGTTTTTAAATGCAAGCTATTATGACACCAGATATGAGTGGCACTGTGAACTGGCAGAGTACACGCTGTAGGGCTGACACACCCGCTTTGAGACAACTAACTGCTATTCAATCTATAACAGTGAAAAAGTTTTTGGGTTTTAAATGCAAGCTATTGTGACACCAGTGAGTGAGTGGTGGCACTGGGCACAGTATCCACTGTGAGCCTGACACACCCGCTTTGAGACAACTAACTGCTATTCAATCTATAACAGTGAAAAAAGTTTTTTGGTTTTTAAATGCATGCTATTGTGACACCAGATAAGAGTGGCACTGTGAACTGACAGAGTACACGCTGTAGGGCTGACACACCCGCTTTGAGACAACTAACTGCTATTCAATCTATAACAGAGAAAAAAGTTTTTGGGTTTTTAAATGCAAGCCATTGTGACACCAGATAAGAGTGGCACTTTGAACTGGGAAAGGTTGGCAGAGTACACATTGTAGGCCTGACACACCCGCTTGAAGACAACTAACTGCTATTCAATCTATAACAGTGAAAAAAGTTTTTTGGTTTTTAAATGCACGCTATTGTGACACCAGTGAGTTAGTGGTGGCACTGGGCAAGTGGGCACAGTATACGCTGCGAGCCTCACACACAGACGCTCGCAGACAACTAACTGCTATTCAATCTATTATAGTGAATTTTTTTTTAAATGCAAGCTATTGTGACACCAGTGAGTGGGTGGTGGCACTGGGCAAGTGGGCACAGTATCCACTGTGAGCCTGACACAGAAGCTGGCAGACAACTAACTGCTATTCAATCTATTATAGTGAATTTTTTTTTTTTTAAATGCAAGCTATTGTGACACCAGTGAGTGAGTGGTGGCACTGGGCAAGTGGGCACAGTATCCATTGTGAGCCTGACACAGAAGCTGGCAGAAAACTAACTGCTATTCAATCTATTATAGTGAAAAAATATTTTTTTTTAAATGCAAGCTATTGTGACACCAGTGAGTGAGTGGTGGCACTGGGCAAGTGGGCACAGTATCCACTGTGAGCCTGACACAGAAGCTGGCAGACAACTAACTGCTATTCAATCTATTATAGTGATTTTTTTTAAATGCAAGCTATTGTGACACCAGTGAGTGAGTGGTGGCACTGGGCAAGTGGGCACAGTATCCACTGTGAGCCTGACACAGAAGCTGGCAGACAACTAACTGCTATTCAATCTATTATAGTGACAAAAAAAATTACTTTTTTTAAAATGCAAGCTATTGTGACACCAGTGAGTGAGTGGTGGCACTGGGCACAGTATCCACTGTGAGCCTGACACAGAAGCTGGCAGACAACTAACTGCTATTCAATCTATTATAGTGAAAAAAAAATTTTTTTTTAAATGCAAGCTATTGTGACACCAGTGAGTGAGTGGTGGCACTGGGCAAGTGGGCACAGTATCCACTGTGAGCCTGACACACAGGCTGGCAGGCAGGCAACTGCAATTACATTTACGGCAAAAAGCAGACTGTTCTAGCCGTAAAAAGGGCTTTTTGGGTGCTGTCCTTACAGCAGAGATCAGATGAGTCCTTCAGGACTGTAGTGGACACTGTATACACTAACCTAGCTATCCATTTCCCTATCAAATCAACAGCAGCTACACTTTCCCTCCTCTCATTAAGCATTCAGCTTGAGAATGAATCTAAAATGGATGCTGTCCAGTAGGTGGGAGGGTCTGCTAGGGAGGGTGTTCTGCTAATTGGCTGGAATGTGTCTGCTGACTGTGAGGTACAGGGTCAAAGTTTATTCAATGATGACGAATGGGGGTGGATCGAACCGCGCATATGTTCGGCCGCCGTGGCGAACGCGAACACGCTATGTTCGCCAGGAACTATTCGCCAGCAAACCGTTCGGTACATCACTAATCAGAAGTCACAACCAAGAACATAAGTAAGAGATCATTTAATCCCCTTATAAAAAATTTTGGACTTCCAAAGGATATAAAATGTTGAAATACTTGGGTATAACCATTAGATCAGAGGTAAAAAAAAGTTAATAGAATCTAATTTCTTATCTTTATTAAAAAGAAACCAATAAAAACTTACAGGACTGGAGGGGGTTGGGATTCTCGTGGTTGGGGAGAATCAATATACTAAGGGCTTAAATCTTACCAAAATGGCTCTATTTATGGAGAATGATCCCTCTTAACTGTCCCGAAAACTGGTTATTAATGTTACATGCCTTTTTTTTTAAATTTGTCTGGAATGGAAAAAAACAAGAGTAAAAATAAAAAATTTAGCCAGGATAAGACAAGATGGAGGTTTGAGTTGCCCAGAAATCCATTAATGTTATCAGGCCAGTAGACTGTTTCACATAATGTTATCACAGAATACATCCGCATGGAAAAATAATGGTATTCAATAGAGAAAGACTGTACAGGGGAAGATAATTTATCCTCTCTATTCTGGATTTTAGATCTCAACAAAAACTTTATAACTGAGGTAAGATACAAATCACATGTAATTAGAGATGTAAGAGGTTGGTGGGATATATTTAGAAAAAAGTCAGATTAAACAACAGAATAATAGATGCACTACCAATCTCAGTGATTAATGATATGCTCAGTAACATACACACAACCCATGGGGCCCCGGTGCGAAAACTGATCCCTGCCCCTCCCCCCGCGCTTACTCTGCACGGGCTGGGGCCGCGACTCCTGCAACCGCGGTATGTACGCCAGTGCATGCAGATACACATACACTTAAAGGACCACTACAGACACCCAGATCACATCAGCTCAATGAAGTGGTCTGGGTGCCAGGTCCCTCTAGTTTTAACCCTGCAGCTGAAAACATAGCAGTTTCAGAGAAACTGCTATGTTTCGCTGAAGATTAATCCAGCCTCTAGTGGCTGCCTCATTGACAGCCCCTAGAGGAGCTTACGTGATTCTCACTGTGAAAATCCCAGTGAGAAGACGCTGAACGTCCACAGGAAAGCACTGAGTAATGCTTACCTATGGGAGGTTTGAATGCACACGCGGCTCTTGCCAAGCATGCGCATTCGGAGCTGAGAGGCGGATTGGGGCGGAGAGATCCCCAGCGCCAAGGGAGTCACACTCACTAACAGACACACACAGTAACACACTCACTGACACACTCTAACACTAACACACACATACACTCTAACACACACACTCTAACACACACACCCCAACACTAACACACACACTAACACTAACAAACACACTCTAACTCACACTAACGCACACACACTAACACTAACACACACACACACCCTAACACTAACACACACACTCCAACACTAACACACACACACACTCTAACATACACACACAAACACACACTCTAACACACACACACACACACACACTCAAACACACACACACTCACACACACACTCACACACACACACTAACACACACACACACACACACACTCTAACACACTCACACTAACACACACACACTCTAACACACACATTCACTCAAACACACACACACTAACACACTCACAAACATACACACTCTAACATACACACACACTAACACACACACACACACACACACT